CTAACTACGTGTCCAGAGATCAAAGGTTTCCATGGTGATCAGTGAGAGGAGAGCATTGTTCTGAATGAGAGATAAACCTCTTACATGTGAACGTTTTGTTGAAGAACCGTAACAGATATCGGTGACATTTCAAAGCGTGAAGCATGTCAAGGAACTTGAGCATCTGAAGTGTACTTTTTGTGTACTTTCGGGTTAATAATGTGGCCTTTTTGGCAGATTAACTAAAGGTGTGCGGCTGCTGTGGTGGAGAAAGGTGAGGCTGAACTTACAATGGGGTTTAATGGAGACATGTTGAAAGTTTTTGTCACTTCATGCCCTCAAGAGGCATTTTGACGAGATGTTTTCCTACGTTTGTCATGAAAAATTATGTTTCAGGAATGTAGGGTTTGGGAATTATGGCAGGTTTAAAAGAAAATATGAAAGCAAAATTAAATCTGTCCTTCACTCTAGCTGTGACATCACGCACTCTAAAATCTGAAGAAGGCATCTTTACCAAGGTCTGAACAATGTTTAATATCTCTAAAAGTAAGAATCCGATTTAAAAGTTGTGTTACACGAATAATGTCAGAAAGATGTGTAACATTTAAAGTTGGAATGAGGTTTCTGAGTGAAAGTATGAAGGAGCAGTTAACAGTTGAAGAAGGAGCAGTTAGCAGTTGAAGTTGCATGAAGATTGTTGAAGTCTGAAGAGTTTCTCCATTGACTTCCATGTTAAAAATGTATGAATTATGGGATGTATCTCTGGAATTATGAAAGTTATGAATGATAAAAGTAATAGGCATCGATTCCCGACCGAGCTGAACGTGTTGACGTTTGAACTGAGTTTCTGCGATGTTCAATGTGGGAGAAGAAGAGGCGCAAAATAACCCGGCGGAATAATAAAGAATTTCGTGTGTAGCATAATGAACATCAAAATGCATCAACCATTATAATGCAATAATATTTATTATTGGGAAATGGCTTGTAGAGCAGAATACTAACACATGTTGCACTTTAATGCAGTTTATTTAATGCATTTTCTTTAAACTTAAGTAACATTTTAAATGCAGTATAATATAGAATGTCTTCACTGTATTGTTACTTCTTGTATAAGTGAAATGTACATCTCACCACTCAAGATCAGATATAGTTTAGTCATTTTGCCAGTCAGTAGAAATTTGACACTATGAAGTGTAACAGTAACCCTGACAAAGTCAATGCAGTCTTAATTAATAATGAATAATTCCTTACATTTATTATAGCGCTTTTTCAATGACTCAAAGCGCTTTACATATACACACATTACACATATATCATACATGCAATGGTCAGATACTGTGGACAATACCCACAGGAGCAAGTTCAGGTGAAGTGTCTTGCCCAAGGACACACCGGCTTTACAGACGCAGCAGCGGCGGGTTTCACCCCTTGATCTGATGATCATTGCACAGCGCACTGCGCCACACCGTCCATCTTCACACCTCGAGGTCATCGTGGCGCTTTTACAAGTAGCCTACACATTGGTATTATACATGTACTGTGGACAATACCCACAGGAGCAAATCCGGGTGAAGTGTCTTGCCCAAGGACACAACGGCAGTGGCGGCAGGAGCGGGTTTCGAACTGGAGTTCCCCAGCACTCCCCCTTGATCTGATGATCGGACAGTCCACTGCGCCACCCAACTTCTTTGGTTGTTAAGAGCTTCTGAATGTCTAACTTTCAGACACCTCTAAGATCTTATTAATCAGCCATGGGTTGCCTGCCAGAGAGCTTAGCTCACTACAAAACACTCCTCAGGGCAGCATAAGGTTAGCTCTGTGTGGTTAGATAACAGATAATCAGTGAGAAGAGGTGTTCGCTCCTCTGCCGTGCAGCTCAGTAGCTTCTCCAACCAGCACCATGACTTAGCCTGGTCCCTAAAGCCGCTGTTACCTAATGACAGAGTCCTGACGGAGCCACAGGCCGGCTAATTTAGACCATCCAGTTCAAAGCTTCTTGGTTTATGAGCCGGGCAGACCAGGCCTTACTGATTTATGTGTGTGTTTGTTTGTGTATTTGTGTGTGAAGAGTTGGGGATGGCTTTACAGTCACATCAATATTATGCAAACCTATTAGAGGTTGTAGTGCTATAGCTCCAGAGTGCTCAGGGCTCTCCCGCAGGGTCACACTCAAGATGACCTCTCACTTCTGTTGAGTGTGAATAATGTGGCCTGCTGGTAAAAAGGAAACAAGTGATAATCACAGTATCACAATGTCAAACAGTGCTACCATGACTCAAATGACTCACTCTAAAACTGCAGTAATAAAGCGGTCAGAGTCTCAGGTTCAATCATTGAATATGGATTTTCTGACACTTCTTTAGCTATGTGTTTGTTTGTTTGTTTGTTTGTTTGTTTGTTTGTTTGTTTGTATATTTGCTAAGGCTGCAACTCATCATTAACAGTATTGATTAATCTGCAAATCATTGTATGGACTAAACTATTAACCGTCTGGTCGGTACATTTTAAATTAAAGCCTAAAGTGTTATTATGATATAAAACAGAAAAAATTGAACCCTAGCCAAATTGAAAGAGCATCAGCATTTTCTGCCAATTTTGACGATTAATCCATCAACAAAATAAAGTTATTTATTTGTATTCCATTTTTTTGTTACTGATTATGATCACAGATTCTATAGCACTCTATGTACAGAACAGTCTTTGAAAACTTGATGCTGATTCATGTTTAAAAGGATGACCATGTAACTTTGAGACAAATATAGAACAATGATCTGCAACATTGGCAGGTTGAGTCTTCCTGAGGTACTTTGTGTATCTGTTCCCCCTCATTTCTTCTTATCTCCCTGTTGTTTATAAGAAAGGCAAAATGAACCCCAGAAAATCACTTTTATACCCAACAGGGGTTGAATGTGTACACAACCCACCTTTTCCACTGATGATACTTGTTCATATTATTGGACCATGACATGCTCGGTTTGATTTGATAGTTATTTCAGAATCTGAATCAAAATACCTTTATTTCATCCCACAGAGGGGAAATGTGCATTTGTGACTGCAAGAAAATAGCCAAAGACAGCTTAATGTTACCTAAGAAGCATGCATTACACAAATAATAAAGATACAACATTTCAAAGAAAAATTACACAATTTACAAAATACACATCCTGTAACAGTTCTGAGATATAGCAGCCAGGTATATATTACACAGTTATTAACGGCATTACAAAACGTTCAAAGCTATTTTTTTGGATTGTTCATCATTGCTGAGAAGGGCAACTTGACATTTCTATTTGAAGCTAAATGGATGTCTGCCTGCATGTGTCTAAAGGCTTTTCAAACATTCATAACTTGTCTGTTGTGTTAAGTTTTTGAATGCATCCAGTGAATCATTCATATATGAGTGAGGTCAGTAGTTTGATGACTCAGCAGGGCCGTGTACTTTATAAGGTCATTAAAGAAAATGCTTGCTTGAACACCGACTGAATAAGCCCCGTGGCTTTGACTTCCACTAATCATCTTAGGCAATGCATGGCTCCCAAGATGCCTGCATGGGAACACCTTTACTGGGCCGCAGCAGCATACGACTGGTGGTACTGTCACCATAATCATGCAATACTTAAAAATGCAATACTTTTATCATATTGTTGCTCAAACAAACAGATATGTAAATGAATGCAAACATTTTTAATTAAGTCTTAAACCTTTTTCTTTATGATTTGAATTCCTGCAATGTACAAGAATGTTGCAAGAACCTCTCATTAGCAAAGAAACGCGGTAATTTGCATAATGCATGCAAACTAAATGTTAGACTTCATTAGAAGAAGAGAATCTTGGTAGGTGAAACCTCAAGTTATACGGTATGCACTGCGCCGCTGCAAACACAGCTAATAATTCAGCTTTACATTTAAAACGTTTGAAATGCTGCTTTAAGAGGTTTTATGTATTTGTTGTATTCATATCTAACAACAACAATGTTAACATTGCTCATGCCTTGTGAGGGAAATGAATGTATAGGCATTATAAAAATGAGAAATCATAAAAACCAGGACAAATCTAGTGCACTTTTTTGTTAGAAAAAAATAAGATACAATAAATAAAGACAGCAATTGAGTTACAGAGCAAAGGTAATAAAGACATTTGGGGATGTTCAAGTAAATACAGAGTATACCATATAACAAAAACCATATACAATAAATAGAAATATGAAAGCTCTAGGCTTTGTTTGTGGGGTAACATATGTGCTAAAACAAACTAGTTTGCAATAAAATATAAAACGGTCCTTATTCCTGTTATATTTGGAAAATGCTAGAAAGCACGTCAACTTTACTAACTCTTTGCTACCACAATGTAATTAATATTTACAGTGGTGTTCAGTAAGTACATGTTCTAGGCCTACTGTACTTAAGTACCATTTTGACATTTTTACTTTACTTGAGTATTAATTCCATTTTATGTTGTACTTTGTACTTCTACTCCACTAAAATGTAGGGTTAATATTGTACTTTTACTCGACTACATTTTTGTAGTAGGCCTACCTTTGGTTACTGGGAGATATAGATTAATGATAAACAATATGATCAACACTCAACTAAGACTTTAGTTACCCAGTATAATTAAAACTAGCTGCACCTTCACCAGGTTGATAAACACATCAATAATTGTATTTAAAAACATGTAATATATATGATTGTGAAATGAGACAATGTGCATAATGAGTACATTTTACTTTTGTTACTTTAAGTATATTTTGATGCTAATAGCCTACTACTTTTGTACTTTTACTTAACTTGAGTCACATTTGCAATGCAGGACTTTTACTTGTAACAGAGTATTCCTACACTCTGGTTGTTCTACTTTTACTTAAGTACAATATATGAGTACTTCTTCCACCTCTGCACATTATAATTAATATTTAAATAGCCAGGCCTAGTAGTACAACCTTACTGTGTGAATTGTTTTATACGCTGATCTTGTTGCCGGGCCAACGCGACTTCCTATTGGCCGCCGCAGTATCACGTGACAGTCCTGACGTCATGGTGAGTGTCTGCAGGCTGAGCGGAATATGTGCAGCGGAACAAGCTGAGAGAGTGTGGACTGATAGCAAGCCGGGAAACTGCAGCTCCTTAGAGGCTCCTGCTGCTAGCTGTTGCCCTCCTAAAGTCTGTGAAACGTTTCACTGCTGAGACGCGAAGTAATGGACAATTAGAGAGACATTCAACAGGCTTTCAACAGCTACTTAAAAGCGAGGTAAGTTGTCGCTCACGCTGTCCCTCCCTCCCTCTCTGTTTGTCCGCTTCCTGTTACTTTTTTTGTAGTTGCTTGGACCTCAGGTGAGATGAGTTACAAGCTTCAACAGTAACTTTACAGACTTTTATTGGTCTGCATAATATTTGTTTCTTCTATTAATTGCAGCAGCGTTACAAGATGGTAGCAGCGGATAAAGCTTTACCTAGATTTGTAATCGGATGAGGCTGCTCTTCTTTCCTAAATTAACTTCCAGGGTAGCCGGGGTAGCAGAGGTGCTGTGTGTCCTTACACACTTTTCATATTTATTTGTAGAATGAGTGAGGACAGGAAGTGGAAAAGGAGTCCTCCACTAACACACTAGACTGAGTGAGGTGAGGCAGGGTATCTCCTTTCAGCAAACACACATCAGTCACTCAGTGGACTAAAGCAGGACAGAGGAGGTAGCTTTATTGGACTGCTGATAGGCTACTTTATCTTGGATTGAAATGCTTTGCTGTGCATAAATGCCTGTGGTGGATGTACTGTCAAATATATGGTCAGTGTGGTAGCAGTGAGATCATGTTTTCACTGAAATGAGGTGAGTAGCTTCCCAGCATTACAAGGTATAACATATACAGGGCATCAAATAAAAGATTACATATTTGGACAATGATTTTGATAATATATGTATCTATTTACCTGATTTTCTATGATCATTTAAAACATTTTAGCAGGTTTTAGCTTCTCAAATGTGAGGATTTGTAGGATGTTTGTTCTTTGTTTTGTTTGTTGCAGTGAACCAAATTTATATAAAAATATATCTCCACAAAATGTTCTGCTACAATTTCTCATGAGCCCAAGTTGAGGTCCTTAAACAGCTAGTTTTATCTGACAACAGTCCCCAATATAAAATATATAAAAGTATTGTTGAAGAAAATAATCAATTCATTTATAAAATGTCAACATATAATAATAAATAAATAATGAAAACAGTCATTAGTTGAATCCCTACATTGCATTGCTTATTCAGTGGAACGTATTGGTTTCAGGTTTCCGTTAAATGGTTAAACAGCTGGAGTAAGACTGAGGTTTAAAAGTGGCTTGTTGTATTAAGAGGCTCTGTGCAAATTTACTTTTTGTTAGCTGTTGGTTCTAGTGATTGAACTGGTTTAGTTTGTGATGTGGGATGTAAACAAGAAACCTGCCATGAGTGAATTTCCTCTGGCTGTCTCTGTGAAATGTTCTTGTAATGATCAGAGTGTTTGATCAAGTGAAAGAGACACAGAAGGAGACAAATAAACATTAAAGTGACAAGAAAAGCACAAGCTCATGACATAAAATGAAAGATGTAGTGGATATGTGGATATGAGATAAAAAGACACACAGACTGGTTTTGCTATCTTTGAGTCACTGTGGCACCCGAACATCCGATGTTTTTAGGAAATGAAATCTCAGTCCAGCTACTCCTCTCACCTCAGGAAGCCAACACAACATAGCAAGAATCATTTAAAGACCCGCGGAGGTGCGGACACAAGGGTGGAGTCGAGATAATATCCCCCTTGGTGTCGGTCTGTCGGAAGCATCTCTTCAAACATTTCAAGATGCTGAACTCTTACAAATGTGCGCTAAATTTGAACAGATGTTCTATTCCTGTGTGCGGGGGTTTGTTTTGGGCCAGTCTGACCACATTGGCAGCGTCCTCTGTAGTTATGTTCGTCTGTGCAGCAGTCAGCGCTCTTTCAGTTGAAGTGGACCTTGTTTTTTAGAGAAAGGAGTCGGGGAGAGCGATTGGAAAAAACAAGGATGAGTGTTAGATTAAACAGAAGTAGGAGAGCTTCAAATGTTGAGATAATGATAGATTCTGGTTGCTGATATTTTGGATAGAAAGCCGCAGTTAACACACGGTGTGCAGCATATATCACTGGCAGAGCAGGGTGGGAGTTGTTTAGTCATCGGACAGATTGACATTTCCATCTCCAGAGCCTTTGTCTTTTCAACAGGCTGTTTCAGAGAGAGGCACATTTAGATATTCAGTGCAAAGTAAACGCCACTCCTCGTGCAATCAGTGACAATTTGGTGTGTGCGTGTCCAAGTCCAAGTCTGTCTTCTTGCAGTTGTTGTCAGTGACATTTAATTTTTTTTGTATCTTGTTCTCATTCGCTCCCTCATGATGACCTCTCTGTCTTGATTGTGGTTTTCTGCAGCTCTCCAGCTGACGAATTGAGCTCATGTGTGCTGCATTATGATGAAGTTGCTGCCTCGGGTTTCTCAAATTGGCAGGATGAATAGGATTTAGAGAAGAGAAGGAATGGACTTTGTCAACCAAAGAAAACACAATGTTATTAATTTAGAGTGCTGTAAATAAAAAATAAACTAACATCCTGAGAAACCAAATCCTGTCAATTGTACACAAACTCATCTTAACACACGTTTCACATCACGGAAGGCCATTGAAATGACAACTAGAAGCAGAAATGAAGGAAGGACATTGAATAATCCAAATATTAAGGAAGTGTATGAGGATGCTTGGGCTATCTTTAGAGCTATGAATGTTTGTGTTTTTAAAGTGTGAATTGGCCCTCAGTGTCACTTTGATGTGAAACGTTCTTGTTTGCAAAAAGCTGGCTGCAATTTATGATTTATGTCATTATGAATTATGACCAGCTGCTGATTCTTTTCTCAATTCATCTTTCAGTGTTCATATATCTCTATAGGTACAGTCCAAAAACCAAAAGATATTACATTTCCTATAATACGACTACAAAATATAAATAAACAGTAAATCCTCACATTGGAGAATTTGAAAGCAGAGGGAAATAATAATAAAAGATGAATCAATTATCTTAATATTGCAAATTATTTTGTGTCAGTTAATCCACTAAAGGTTTTAGCTCCAGACTGGAAAACGTTTGTGTCAATAGAATCAAAATCATACAAACCAGTAGATTATTTTCACCTTTAGCTGCTGCAAAGTCACATTTGTACTACTTACTATTATTACGTATATCACTTTCTAACACTATTTACTAATCCTTTTTTTACTATTTGAGTCAGTTGGAGCTGTACATTTCTACAACCTTATTTGACTGATGTGCCATGATAAGTATTTTCCAAACCCTCTACTGAATTTAGTTCCCAAGACACTGTGGCACAGATTGGCCTGACGGTAGACTGGTCCTGACCCTACGCTAAATAACTCAGGAGATAAAGTTGCAGGCAGATATTCAGGCAGCCGCTGAAGCACGCTGAACAGCCCTCGTCATGATACTTGTAACGTGAGCACGGGGCTCCTGCAGCTGTGTTTTGATGGCGGTTTGAAATGTGCTGCTGACCAGACATGTGATCGCACACGAGCTGCGGCCAGGAGATGTTTAAAGAGAGGGACGTGCACGGAGTATTCATACCATAGACTGTATGATTCATACGTGCCAGACTTATGAGGGTAATGGCGGTCAGAAACACAACCTTTTTCTTTGGTCCTTGTGTTTATTTGTAGCTTCTTTAAAGAAAAAACACATTGGTGTGGTGCTCTAAATGTGAGTCTGATGTGCTGTAGGGCCTCTCTATTGTTAGTTTTTTGTGTCATCCTGTGCTGTGCTTAACTGCATTTTAATCACACTGATTCATTTGTGGCAGATTATTATCGCTGTCACAGTTGAGACGTCAACCAACTTTGTTTTTGTGTGTAGGTATCTTATAATTTTCAAACTAGACATCATGAGAGAACAGCAGTTCTACATTAGGGATTTATTTGTCACCTTTCGGCACCATCGAGAAGACAGAAAATAAATTGGCAATAAGTTTGCTCATTAGTTCATCGTAAACAACATTATTTTATGTAAAAAATGGTCTTAAAGCCACATATTTCAGCGTCTCAATTGTGAATTAGATGTTCTCTTCATGCTGCTCTAGCTCTAGGCTCCTGCACAAATAGATGATGCAAAACATGAATTACGTGCCTAAATAGCAGAGAAGAAAGTGAGTGATTGTGATGTTGCCATCATCAAAAGCATGTGTCCGTGTAATCAAATCAAATCAAGTTTTATTTATATAGCACAGTTATAAACGATTTTTGGTCGAGCCAAAACACAGTCGACACTTTACAGCAAATACAACAGCACAGATTGTTCAGAATATCAGTATGAGAAAAACGACACCCTCTGTCCTTAGACCCTCACATCGTACAAGGAAACACTTCCAGAGAAAACCCACAGTTTAAGGGGAACATGGGAGAAACCTCAGGGAAAGCAACAGAGGAGGGATCCCTCTCCCGGGACGGACAGACGTGCAATAGATGCCGTGTGTAAATCGAAGAGATAATACATTTTACAGCATATAGACCGAATGTTAGGAAATGCATGTGTCTGTAATAAGAAGATGAATTGTAAAAGACTGTATGTCTGTTTCTGGCGTTCAAAATCACATTTAACTCTGACTTTTGTCCTCGCCTAAACCTCTGTGATGTCTTATCAAAGCTGAAATGAAACATCATTATTTAATAGCGACCTCTGGGTGAATATCACACGGCAGATCTTGCAGGTTTAATAATTGCGTCCTTGTTAGGTCGGGAAGGACTGGCTTTACCTCCGCAGCCTGATCGCAGACGGATCATATTGCATTATGGATGTGTCATTCATAAACTCACCATCTGTGATCAGGTCTTCTTCAGCTCCCCCCCCCCCCCCCCCCCCCCCCCCCAGAGCTTTCTTCTGCTTTCTGCTCTTGGATTATCTGTGGGACCTTTGGGTTCCGATTTACCTGCAGGATATAAATGGAGACTTCTGGCGGTTACATAAGTGGACAACAAGATGTTCTGGGATGGTGGCGTGTCTGAGGGCTTTTCGTTCGAGCAGCAAGAATGAGTCAACCTCTCAGATGCTGCTCTAAAAACATATTTGCTGCAGAGTTGTGTGGGATTTCAGCTTTTAAACCAGTAATTCAATAGTATAATGTTATATAATTGGCTTCAAAAATGAAACATTTTATATATAATTGAATATTGAAAAGTGTTAAGAACTAAG